AGACGCCGACTGATTCATCCGATCGTTGAGAGATGAACAAAGAGAAGCGGAGTCGTCGAGGAGAGTTAGAGAGACGCAGTGTGGTCGACGAGAGGGAGAGAGACACGGAGTCATTCCGTCGAGAGAGAGAAAGAGATGAACGCCCTTTGGCCAACACGTGTCTCAAAAGACCGTCTCTTCTAGCGCCTAATTAAGAAACGTTCCTTCCCATTAAACATAATTTTTTTTTTTTTAATTGCTATTAACACTAAGAGACTTAGCTTAGCGACCCCGATAATGATGCTCTTAGAATGAGTCTCTTCACAAGTTGAAATCCCACCATAAAGCTATATTAGTTAGAGATACTTGTTTAGGAAAGCCTATATGTGTTGTTTGAGTAATCTGATTTGTCATACTGAGTAATGAGTGGTCTATACCTGTGTTGCAGGATCTGGTAAAGGGGTTTCAGACACTCCTTTGACTCTCCATGTGAAGAAATTTGGTGTTCCTGATCTTACAATGGTCGATCTTCCGGGGATAACTCGAGTTCCAGTGAACGGACAGCCTGAAAACATCTATGAACAGATTTCCGGGATGATCATGAAATACATCCAGCCACAAGAATCCATCATCCTTAATGTTCTGTCAGCCACGGTCGACTTCACAACCTGTGAGTCCATCCGTATGTCTAGGCAAGTTGACAAAACCGGTGAACGGACTCTGGCTGTTGTCACAAAGGCCGACATGGCTCCTGAAGGTCTCCTGCAGAAAGTAACAGCAGACGATGTGAATATCGGACTCGGTTATGTCTGCGTCAGGAACCGTGTAGGGGAAGAGACATACCAAGAAGCAAGGATGCAAGAAGAGTTACTTTTCAAGACTCATCCACTGCTTTCAATGATTGACCATGACATTGTCGGCATCCCGGTTTTAGCTCAGAAGTTAATCCAAATCCAAGCAACAATGATCGCCCGTTGTTTGCCGGATATTGTTCAGAAAATCAAAGAGAAACTGGACAACAGTATCCTCGAGTTGAATAAGCTTCCAATGGTTATAACTTCCACAGGGGAAGCTTTGATGACCTTCATGAACATCATTGGTTCTACGAAGGAGTCTCTTCTAAGAATTCTTATCCAAGGCGATTTCACGGAATTCCCAGATGACCAAAGCATGCACTCTACTGCTCGTTTGGCTGATTTGTTGAGTCAATTCTCAGACAATCTTGAAGCAAAGCCGGAAACCGTGACCGAGTTCTTGATGTTTGAAATCAAGGTACTAGAAGAGTGCAAATGTATTGGATTGCCTAATTTCATTCCAAGATCAGCATTCTTAGCCATCCTTTCACACCGCGTTGATGAAATGCATACAAAGCCGGTCGAATTCATCAAGAAGATATGGGACTACATTGAAATTGTTCTCTCATCAGTCATAACCAAATACTCTGAAAACTTCCCACAGATCCAATCTTCCATCAAAAGAGTCGGTCGGAATCTGATCTGCAAGATCAAGGAAATATCTGTGAGTCGAGTGATTGAGATCGTAGAGATGGAGAAACTGACTGATTACACATGTAACCCAGAGTACATGACAGTCTACACAACCAAGATAGCTAATCAAGGAAGCTTCATCAGTCGTGTACAGGACGGTTATTTGACCTACTCGTTAAGTGGAGTCGGGAATGTTGAGATTTCACATTTAAGGAAGTATGACGCGCAGTTGCTTAGGCAAGCGTTCGACATAAATGTGAGAATCAATGCTTACTGGACCATTGTGGTACGTAGGATTGTGGATAATCTTGCATTGTACCTTCAGTTCTCTGGGAAGAATCTTGTGAACAGTCAGTTTCAGAAGGAGATCGTCGCGGGATTGGTGAATCCAAGAGGCGGAGGAGAAGTTGAGAAGATGATGGAGGAGTCTCCGTCGGTGGCGAGCAAGAGAGAGAAGCTTAAGAACAGTATAAAGCTCTTGAAGGAGTCCAAGGATGCTGTTGCCGCCATTGTTGATCAGAATAGTTGATCGATTGCTACTTTATAATGTTTTTTTTTCTTTGCTTTTGTGATCTCTTTGAACTTTCGATTTTTCGGTTATATTTATGTTATGTTTTTTTTTTTTTTTGTGAGGTAACACTAGAGCTTGAATATCAGATTACTTTTATACAAATACTAACAAGATTGGTAGACATAGTTAAACAAGGTAATTAGAACAGAACAACTACAAAGGAAGTTCCAGTAATGTTAAGCAGCTCAATTTACAATGATCAATAAAGAGCTTTTTAGGTCACTAGGATTCACTGGTCTACCTTATATATTTGAGTGCCTAAACATTATTATACCACAGATAACGAAACCCTCCAAGGAAAACAACAAGTTGTGTTAAAACCAGAGAAACTCACAAATGCAATTGGGTTAAAAACTTTATATGCACGTAACCTCATTGCAAACTAAATGTATTGTGTAGCACCGGATGCATAGGCTACAAAACTGAATCACCGAATTACACAAGTAACTTCCAATTATTTTTGTTTGCAAATCGAAGTTTCCCGATAAATGCATCGTCGGCATTTGCAAATTGTTAATGACTTCAAAATTTAAATCAAGGTAAACATTCAAAATTAACTTAATACTCAGCGTCGGATTAGTGGGTAAAAAACCTCCAATAGGAAAAAAAGTGTATTTGAGGCAAACGTGAAAGTCAAGAAACACCAAAACCCTAATTTCCTAAATATAGAGCCCGTGCCATCTTTGATCTTTCGGCTTTGTCTTCCGTATCAAAGATCACAAGCGAAACAATGATGACGTCCGATCTTCCGCAAGATTTGGTAGAGGAAATACTTTCTAGGGTTCCGGCGGCAACATTGACTCGATTCCGATCTACTTGCAAACGGTGGAACGATTTATTCAAAGACGAAAGATTTACCAAGAAGCACTTAGATAGAGCAACAAAGCAGGGTTTGGTTCTCATGTTGAACGAACATAAGATTTCTTCACTAAGGGTCGATCTCCATGGAATTGACAACAACAATGTTGCTCCCTCTATAGAGTTTAAGAGTGAACTTGACCCAAAGGAGTCTCATTCTTCTTTAGGAAAAATTGACATATATGGAATGTTTCACTGTGACGGTTTATTGTTATGTACCACCAAAAACGATAGACTCGTGGTTTGGAATCCCTGTACTGGTGAAACCAGGTGGATAATACCTAGTAATCATTACTACAAAAACTCGATGTTTGCTCTCGGATACGATAATAGCAAATACTGCCGTAACAACAAACTCGGAGTAATCACGTCACAAACCATCGAGTTGTTGAATTTGAAATCTATGACTTTAGCTCTGGTTCATGGAGATTTCTTAAAATCACTGCCGAATTCCTCCTACGAACTGGTGGTGTATCTTTGAAGGGAAATACTTACTGTCTTGCTTACAATAGCCAACTACTATCTATGTTATGATTTTTCAACAGAGAGGCTTGAACGTCTGAATCTTCCGTTTCATGACACTTGGTTGTACTGTAGCTCTACCAATTGTTAGAGAAGAGCAACTATCAGTGTTACATCAGAGGTATGATACACTAAAGATGAAAATATGGGTGACGACCATTGATAAGATTGATCAGACCATAATCTTGCCGTGGAGAAAGTTTTTATCAATAGACATATCCAAATTGTCTAGTAGGCATTCGTTTTCAGGTTTGGTAAGTTTCTTCGTCGATGAGGACAAGAAAGTGGCTGTGTTATTATAGCATACGCGGAGACAGAAACATGGTAAGCGTTATTGGAGAGTATGGTGAGATCCATTTTGGAGAATCTATACAAAAATCAGGACCGACATTTATTTTCAATTATGCTCCAAGTTTGGTTCAGATCCAACAAGGTACATAAATACCTAGAGCATGCAAAAGAAAAGAACTCGATTAGAGCAAGGACGTTATTACTTGTGTTTGCTTTTTTTTTTTTGCTTTCTCAATGTCGTTTGATTAGCTAATGAATTGATCATCAGTTTATATATTTTGTTACCTCATCTATTACTTAATTAATGATTCCTTCCTTCGCATTACATTCACATTTCAACTAAAACAAGAACCAGTTTATAATCAAAGTACTGCTACATTCGAAGAGCATCATATATATATATATACAGTTAAATGGTGTTTTTAGTGACTATGATAATAAAAAAGTTGGTGATAAGAGAATAAGACAAGGTTTTAAGGCAAAGAAACTCTAAGCTAGAAAGTTAAGAGATAGACGAATGTTGGAGAGCCCATGGACAGTGAGAGCATATTAGGTCAAGTACGGAAGACAAAAATGGACTTGTATACCGGGTTGAACAGGGATCCGTTGGGTCGGATCGGTACGAAGCACTCGGGTGTTTTCCACCTAATCTTTGTTTATCCCAACAAAGTACTAGTCTCAAATTTTAATGTCACACGTGATTAAACTTAGATATTTCGGAAATTAATGCACTCAACACTCTCAAGAGTATCTTAGATACTCTTAAAAGTAGAAAGACTCATGTGACCCGAATCCGATATAAGGGTCCGACTTATGCTAGCGTGGAAATGTGAAGATTTCACATCTACGGAACTTTCATGCTCATTTGCTGCAGCAGGCGTTCGAAATGAAGATGAGGATCTTATCGTATTGGACGATTGTCCTGCGAAGAATCATGGACAACCTCGCGCTACATCTGCAGTTCACCGTGAGGAATCTCGTGAACAAGGAATTTCAGAAGGAGATTGTCGCAGAAATGGTGGATTCTAGAAGCGGTAGTGGAGGCAGCATCCACAGGTTGCTGGAGGAGTCACCGTCAGTGGCGAGCAAGAGAGAAAAGCTGAAGAATAGTATCAAGTTCTTGAAGGAGTCCAAGGACACAGTAGCAGCCATTGTTGATCAGAATTCTGGTTATGGAGATCATTGATCGATTTCCAATTTCTCGCTTATGGTAAATGTCTGGTAAATGATC